CCCTAACTCCGCCGACCAATTCTCTCTCTTCCTCTCTAGCTATCCCGCTCTCGATCCGCGAGCCAACTCCGTCGACCAACTCCGCCGATAAACTCCGTGAGCCAACCCCATCAAGCCCTCCGTTATTAAGTTCCTCCTCCGCTACTAAGCTCCTCCCTAACTCCGCCGACCAATTCTCTCTCTTCCTCTCTAGCTATCCCGCTCTCGATCCGCGAGCCAACTCCGTCGACCAACTCCGCCGATAAACTCCGTGAGCCAACCCCATCAAGCCCTCCGTTATTAAGTTCCTCCTCCGCTACTAAGCTCCTCCTCCTCCGGCATTAAGCCCTCTGCCATCAAGCTCCTCATGGTGTCGTCGCTATCACTCTCGCCATTGATTTTTTTATCTCGTCGTCGATCTACTGGTCTCGCCGCCGAGCCCCTTCCCCTTCCGTGAGCCAACTCCGATGCCATCACTCTCCGTTTGAGTCTCATGTACCTCAGCTCCTTTCATTTCCGATCTCTACAATTTCTTCCCCTTTGTATCTATAAAATCTCCTTTTCATTCTTGCTTAAATCACGATTGATTTAGGGATTAGGGAGGAAAACAAGGGAATGAGAAGATGATCTTCATCTTTTTCCTTAATTTTTTTCATTTCTAGAGCTTTTTATGCGTGATTTATGATCTTTTCATGGTTTGATTTAGATCCAAGCTCTTTTTTCCCCAAAAGTTAGGGGTCTAATTAGAAATGGAATTAAACCTAATAGTTTTATTTCCTTTAACTAAGAGAACCTGTGATGAGCCTGAATTTTCCTTTTTTTTGAATGTTAATCATTGTAAATGTGTTATCTTGGTGGTATTTTAGGCGTGCACCTTTACTAATATGTTTATATGCGATGATAATTTATGTATGAACACTTTAGGAATGTAAAGGGTAGTAAAATTTTATACTTGGGTGCTAGGATTGGTGGTGGTATTTTTGGTTGCTACTTGTGTTCGTCGTCGAGCTTCCCGTGACTGTTTTTTGTTAATAGGCTGATTGGAGCTTGTTTAGCTCTATGTTGTTGGGTTTTTGGTCGCTATTTGTGCTTTTCATCGAGCTCTCGTGGCTGTTTTTTTACTATGCTCATTCGAGCTTGTTTAGCTCTATGTTGTTTGGTTTTTGGTTGCTACTTGTGCTCGTCGTCGAGCTCCCCATGGCTGTTTTTTTTAATAGGCTGATTGTAGCTTGCTTAGCTCTATGTTGTTGGGTTTTTGGTTGCTATCTGTGCTCGTCGTCGAGCTCCCGTAGCTGTTTTTTTTTTTGTTACTATGCTTGTTTAGCGCTTGTTGAAGCAAACTGTTGTTGGGTTTTTGGTTGCTATTTGTGCTCGTCGTCGAGCTCCCGTGGCTATTTTTTGTTACTATGTTGTTTTTTGTTAATGGGCATCTATCTTTACATGCAAACTTAGAAAATCTGAGTGTATTTACAAGATTGATAAATTTGTGGAGTACCCGTTAAATGTGGATAGCCGATATGTATTAGTAGTGATACAATAGATTTTGCATGCATGAATGTCTTATAATCTATTGATAATTTCTTTTTAAAGTACAAATTTTCATGTTAAGAGAGGTCGACGATGTGACATTTTTTATAATTAGAAGGAATGCAAATCTTAATTTGATAAATTCCCAAATGCCTCCTACAAAGGGTATGCAACATACAAAGAGGCTTTGATTGAATGGAAGAAGCACATCATCGCTCGTGATTCAGCATCCAGCTCAAGGCCTGTCCATACACCTGTTTATGTTCAAGAACAAATATTTCCAGAGGGGCATAATCTTGATGAGGACAAGGAAAACTTGGGGAAACTGCTATTTCCTCCATCTATGCTTTTGTATTAGGTTTAGTGTTTACAGTATTAGTGTTTCTAGTATGTATTGTTATAGTATTTGTTGGTTTCTCCATTGCAAAAAGCATGTGATGTGATTTGTGAATGAGCTTGCAATGTGAGGATAAGCTTGCAATGTGGACGAGAATACTGTCATATTTTGATTCCATAAATGTAGTAGCATACAGAGAAGGGGCGTCTTATTTCCTTGTGAAATGCACTTTGTAATGTCATAATTGGATGAGTTTGTTCCTGAATGTAAATGGCTATGTTCACTAATCTGCGCATAGGCATACATTTTATGCATGCTGACATTTCTTTAATCTTATCATTTTGCTGTATCCATAATGAGGAAGCATTTACAGCATAATGAGGAAGCATGTAGAAGAAAATACACCTTCAGATACTGGACTAGAAAACCACATACAAGAAAATACATCTTACAGTCATGACTTCAGTCTTTCCTTTTATGTTTGTTTAATAATTTGGCATTCACGGGTTTGAGTTTATCTTCATTGCTGAAACATTTGTCGCGTGAGAGATTAGGGAAGCTATGTGTATTCCACTAGTGACTAATTGCTCCAATTTAGCTTATAATAGGAAGAAAGATTTGTTCCTTTGCGTAGAATAATTCATATTAAGTTACTTTAAAGAGAAACATATTGTAGTTATAGTTTTTATCTTTTGCAACTAAAACAAGACCACATATAGCTTATTAACAGAGTACGACAAAGAAACTTAACATTCTTTTAGGCAGCGCAGAACTAATTATGCCCACAAACCTGTATCAGTTTGAGGCAATTATGTGCCTGGCATAAAAACTGTCTGACAATATTACAAAGATAGCTTCATTGAAGCAGGGAACATTGCAAAATGTTACAACCCACAATCCAAACACTAGTACAAAATAGGGCAGTCCAAACGGTTATTGAAACCGTTTGGGCAAGTCAAAATAGCCCAAACTGTTTAAACCGTTTGGACTAATTATTCCAAACGGTTTAAACCGTTTGGGCTATTGAATAATCCTAAACGGAGCTTCCAAACGGGTTAAACCGTTTAGAACATATCCGTCCAAACAGTTGAAACCGTTTGGGAGTTATGCTAGGGTTTAAAAAAAAAAATTTAGCCATCGTTTTTCTGACCCGCGCACGCGTTCTCCCCAAATTTTCAGCCAGCGGCGCCAAAAATTTCATCCCCAAACACCGCACCCTCTCAAATTCCCCTCCGCCAAAAATTTCATCCCCAAGCACCGCACGCTCAAATTCCCCTTCGCCAAAAAACACCACACCCTCAAATTCCCCTCCGGCAAAAAATTCGCCTCCGCCTCCGCCTCATCTTCGCCGGCCAACGCCTGACCTTCTCCGCCGCCTCATCTTTGCCGGCCCTCGAGATCCTCCGCCGCCTCATATTTGCCGGCGCGCTCGATCCTCCGCCGCCTCCTCCACCGCCTCCATCGATTCCACCGCATCGCTCCTCCGCCTCCTCCACCGCGTGCCTCCACCAAAAATATGTTTTAAATGGAAGTTGCTGAAACGTGGGATATTAAGAATTTTGGTGCTCCCACCAAAATAATTCCTTCTCCATAAATTTTAACATCGTTAAATAACTGGTTTTTCTTAGGATTTTACTCGAGAATGGATCATATCAGGCATCCATTTAGGGGAATCATCAGTGATGTCAAAGGTAGAGCACCATGTTACCGTCAAGATTGAATGGCTGGGTTTCATTCAGGATTCAGGTACTTGTATTTGAAAAAAAAATAATTTAAAGGCTTATGCAATTCTGTTAATTGTTTTGCTCATCATTTTTTTCAGGGTCTTGGCACCTACTATGTACATCTTTTTTGCTTCTGCTTTACCTGTTATTGCTTTTGGAGAGCAACTAAGTAAAGACACAGGTTGGTTTTAACTTGATTTTGATGATATATAATGATTTTTTAAGAGTTCACGATATCTAATGTTCTCCGTTTACAGAAGGAGCACTAAGACCGTTGACACTTGATATCTACTTGAAGGTCAGTGTGTTCCGTTTCTTTTTACTAATTGTATATATTTTTCACTAAGTTTAAGATTTTATTCATCTAAAAGAAAATCAAATACGTTTAATCATCCAGGCATATATACCTGGAAACATGGGAATACAAGACACTACAAGTATGTTTAAGCTTTGATTTAGTTTTTGTGCTCGTTACGTGTTTGACGAAATGCCCCTTTGGGATTTTCGCTTGTTTGTTTGGTCGATCGGTTTCTTGTTTAGCCTGGTTTTACTTCGTGCTTGCAACCTGTTTGATGAAATGCCCATGTGAATGTTTGGTTTGTAGCTGGAGGACATGGAGCTGGATGCCTCGTCGGAGGCGGCGGCAGTGGAGCTTTACTTTGTTAAATGTAATACTTTTAGGATTTTCCTTTATTATGGCTTTATGTTTGTTAAACCCCGATCATCTTAACATTCAGTGGGGTGATCTATTGTGCACAATGAAAGTAAATATACCTTACGATACAATGGCTGTTAATGTCTATTTGATACTTTTGGTGAAACAAGTATTTATCTTTATATAATTGAAATTGTTTTCGCGTGTTCAGCGAAAGTCACTTTTGGAGGTGATCAAGCAAACAGTGCTGGACCATCTCACCAAGAAATGCCCTCCGCATGTAAGCTTCTTAGCCTTGCTGTATCATATATTAAGCTGATGAAAATTTGGAACAAAGTGTGAAGTTGCTGATGTAAATTCTCTATTTGGAACAAAGTGTAAAGTTGCCCATGTTAATTCTTGGAGTTGCAGAACCTACTGTGTTAATGTACACATACTTGTACAACTTTGCCAAAGACCTAGAAGACTTGGGTGCACGCCTATTTTTGGCTTGGGCTGGATGGTTTTGTAGTTGTGAAGATGAAAAGAGTTTGGATCAGTTAGTCATGTTTCTTAGTTAATATGATTTTTGATTTGCAAAACTTTTCGTAGGGTTTGCATCTGGACTGCTATCATGCTGTTTCTTCTGACAGCTTTTAATGCTTCAGCTATAATTAGTAGATTCACCAGGGTTGCAGGAGAACTCTTTGGGATGTTGATAACAGTTCTCCTCTTTCAAGAAGCTATCAAGGTGATTTTTTATCTCTCTATTTCGAGTCTGGAAAGTAATCTTAGCGAGCAAAACTAGTGCTAATATTTTCATTTTTTTATAGGGTCTGGTGAGTGAGTTTAATGTACCCAAAGGCGAAGATTTGAGTCTAATGGTAAACCAGTTCCAGTGGCTTTATACGAATGAATTGCTGGGCCTCATATTTTCTGGTGGCCTTCTGTACACTTCATTAAAGAGTAGAAAGGCAAGGTCGTGGAGATATGGCACAGGTCTGTGATATTCTGGTTATTTACCGTGCCATTGATTAATTAACTCCCCAAGAATGATGGTAAGAGCTGTGATTACTGTTTGCAGGGGGGGTTCAGAGGTTTCATTGCCGACTATGGAGTTCCTTTGATGGTGGTTGCATGGACCGCGATATCGTATGCGACCCCTAACAACGTTCCTTCTGGGGTTCCAAGGAGGCTCTTCAGCCCCCTTCCCTGGGATTCCAAGTCGGTGCATCACTGGGCTGTTGCAAAGGCAAGAGCAAGCAAACCATTATTCTCATGAGCGCCTTGATCTTTGGTTTAGTTGGACCTTAAGAATAGTTCATACTTGTTTAGGGTCGAGAAGAATTCTCTCGTCACAGCAGGTTTTTCTTTCAGTCAAAGGTGAATGATTTTGTCGTGTTTCATTAATAAGAAACAATGAAGGAAGTCATATAATGCAATTCTAACGGATCCACACTAGTACAAATCAGATTATATAATTCTTAAATGTTTTGATCGTTTATACAACATATTTTTGGTGAATTGCAGAAATGTCAAATCATTGAGGATGGTGGCACACCTACAATGCTGAAACTATATTTGGGTATCCACTCGTCATCGGTAGATAAGATCACCGGAGAGTATACATATCCGGACAACAGCACTAAGGAGTATTGCGTAAGTGTTCTGGATGAAATTTTAACTGCTTTTATGTTATAATCATACTTTTATTTTGTTTTGAAAATCACTTAATATTCGTGTTGTCCTTAAATTTTATGAAAATGGGAACATATTATATGCCCTGTTGCTGGAAATGTTATGGAAGGAGATAATTAAGCCCATGAACTTTTTGCTGGAAATCATGAAGCCTTTGCTGTAAGAAGGAAAGAGGGTAGGGTATTAGTTGATATATCTCTATTAGTGACCAATTATGTGCTTTCATTTTAAAGCTTGTGAGAGAGCTTGTCCTTTTATGGAGTGTCTATATTCAGTTCTAATTAAGGATTATGTGCTTCCATTTCTAAGTTTGTGAGAGAACTTGTCCTTTTATGGCGTGTCCATATTCAGTTCATCTTGTAAGCATGCAAGTCTCACACGTATAGTCTATGACAAGTCTCTAATTATTAAAACAAGCCGACTGTTTCCAGTCTCATGTTTATTCTTTATTGCAATGAGTGGTTTATATGCCCTGTTTTAATCCGTTACTGATATCAACTTGAAGCTAGCACCATAAAGATTATATTCGAGCTCAGTTTATTAGCACATATATACACATTACATCTTGTACAGAATGAATCCTTTGGGAGCTTGAATAGAATGATCAGGACCTTAGTTCGATGCCACAACAATCTAAGACTAGAAATGAGCTATATGTGCTGTTTAAGTGACTTAGACACACAGACATTTCTGTTGAAGTATTCAGATTAGCTTGAATACTTGAATTCAAATTTCATCAGGTTGTCACATTTTGTATCAAACCTGTAAAACTTGTATACATTTCAAAGATCCTGTAAAATATGTATAAGATTTAAAGATGGATCGAGACCTGTGAAAGACGATGGTTCATGCCTAAGTGTAGCTACTCTTTTGTGTTCGAGACTTGCAAAACGTGTATATAATTTAAATATGGATCAAAATCCCCTTGAATAGATGTTCTGGATAAAATTTAATTAACTGCTTTTATGCTATAATCATACTTCTATTTTTTTTTTTAATTTTTTCTTAAATATATCTACTCTTGCCTTGTTGACTTATATTTGAATACTTTGTATCGTGTAGGAGCGGATCATCGAAAAGGCAACCTCATCGAGGAATTTCTTCTTTTCCTTGACTTGATTGATTATGTTGGACATTTTGGATATTAGAGATTAGAGACAAATATATAATATTAGATGCTTTTCATTTGTGACATATTGAGTAATCATTGTGTATGTATATGTTTTGTCTTTAATATTGTATATTGACTAAACATTGTGTATGATAACATTGAATATTTAGCAAAGTTTGAAAATATTTTGATTTCATTGTGAGATGTTGAGTACTTATTGTGTGAGATGTATATATAAACAAGTAGATAAATAAAGAAGCCAAACTTTAAAAACTATTAAAATAAATAGCCCAAACGGTTGAAATTGTTTGGGTGAAAAATAGGCCAAACGGTTGAAACCGTTTGGGTGAAAAATTGCCCAAACGGTTGAAACCGTTTGGGCAAAAAATTGCCCAAACGGTTTCATCCGTTTGGCAAATTTTTATGCCCCAAACGGTTGCAACAGTTTGGGCAACATCCCAAACGGTTGTAACCGTTTGGGATGTTGCCCAAACGGTTACAACCGTTTGGGCAACCGTTGGGGACACCTCATCCCCAATGGCTTTAGCCCAAACGGGTTTTTTACCTCGTCCAAACGGTTGTAACCGTTTGGGAGGGGGTTTTCCCAAACGGTTCCAACCGTTTGGACTGACCTATTTTGTACTAGTGAAATAGTAGTTAGCCAAATTAGGGCACAAAGAACAAACTAACATACGAAACAGTGACAATAGAAATTATAGAATCAACATGCACATGCCTTCCTCTTGTGTAGCTCATCATTCTTTTTCTCTGTAGCAAGAAACCAATAATAGTTAATACATAGACCTGTTATCTACAAAAATCACAACATACTACAACAATTAATAATAGTTGAAATTTTGTTCATTTGTAAGTTGACTTACAGCTAGTTCTATAATGCCAGAGTTCACCACATCTGCTACATATGTGTTTCTTCCTTTCTTTCTTTTCTTGGGCTTGTTCTAAACTTGACTAGATTCTAGTAGCATTGCATGGACGACTTTTAGTCCTTGCAGGTCTATCAGGATCACGAATTGTAATCTGAGAAATGTGCTTCATTGTATGTGAAATGAGTGTGCTAATCTGAGGAATATCCACCATTTGAACTTGATTTTCTCTAACTTCTTCTTCAATTGACTCTATGAAATTTGTTAGCACATCATCTCATTTTTGCATATTCTTTTTTGAATCAAATGCAAGCTTGAGCGCATTATTGAATTTTGCTCTTAAAGCCTAAGATTTCAATAAATTAATCTTCTCTTCACAGCTTTTGATGTTTCTTCCAAATACAATGTTGCTAACCCCAATGTTACGATGTCGAGCATGTATAGTCCAACGGTGTAGGATGTAATGGTCGGGTAATGAATCCATTTGTCTAGCCATCATTAGCGACAATATATGTTTACATACAACACCATTGGTTTCAAACAAAGCACAAGTGCAAATGAACTGTAAATGAAATGAACTGCAAATGACTAGATTGATCATAAGTAACCACCTCCCATTTTCCTCTATCTGTAAACTTACAGATCTTGTATTCAACAATGTTCCCATCTTTTCTCAATTCTTCGTAAAACTCTGTACCAAATCCTTTAAATTCAGTTTGGAACACAACAAACATATTGCGTGCATACATTTCTCCAGCTTGGACCTCAATTGGATGTCCAAGAAGCATGAAAGACTTTATGTTAAGACTCTTAAAATCTTCATGGACTTCGCTTGAGCGACATGAGTTACTACTTTTTCATATTACGTCACAAACTCTTGTAATTGAGTCTGTGAGTTAACATACCCATCAAAGAAAGAATTAATACTTTCACTCCTTTGGCTCGATCTCATTCCAACAAAAAAGTATCCTTTAAATAACATGGCACCCAATGTTCTCGACATTTGTAAACTGTTTGCAACCATCCATCTTCTTCTTCATTTATATTAAACTTCTCCTTCATCTCAAACCAATATCCTTCACACTGTTCAATTGAAGAACTATTGTACCACAAGCCTTAATACCTTTGAAACTATTCACCATAACGAGACTCTAAAGTAGGAAAATGATCAATAATGTGCTTTTGCATGTGCTAATAGTAATAACGGTGTCGTGTTATTAGAAACACTGAGTGAATAGCATTACACATTTTTTTATCCTGATCTGTTATAATGTCACCTGGTTCAGCCACATGCATGCATTTCAGCCATTCTTGATACAACCACACAAAGGTATCTTCCTATTATCGGCTAATAATGCACAACCAAGTAAAATGGACTGCCTATGATGATTCACACCAGTAAATGGAGAAAATGGAAGAGTGAATTTATTAGTTTTGTATGTCACATCAAACACAACAACATCACTTAATTACAAATAAGATGCTTTTGATCTTCCATCAGCCCAGAAAACACTCCTCATTTGTCCACTACTATCTACTTCTATTACAAAATAAAATTCTGGATCATTCGCTGCCTTACTCTGAAAATGTCTAATGATAGATATGCAT